AACAGTACAGTGACTTCAGTCCAACCATCCGTTTGTTTGAACATCTTGAGGTCACGCAACCAGATCTGGTTATTGAACAATTACGAAAGGCGCTGTTTGAGATCGGGAGAAACGATCTGTTTAACTTGCTGACAACAAAAGGTAATCACAAGTGAAGTGCTGTGAATAAATTAATCAAGCTATTTACATTCTGGGTAAGAATGAATCTTTTGCGTTCCAAAGGTCGTCGAGCTTGTTACGGGATTGGGCCTCCGTAGTAAAAGTTTTACAAATAGCGGTATGAAACACTCCATGACAACAAGCTCTACAGTCATCAGTCATCAAATAAACACCATGAATATCTGAACTTACTGTATTAGGAAAAAAAAAAGAAAAACAAAAATGTTACTCTGCAGTAAGGGGGCGTCAAAACCAATCCTGAGAGAGTGCTATCTATAGCTAGAATAACAGCTCTCTCTTGTTTGCTGTCTAATCCCAAGACTTCCCAGATACTTCTTATCAAAACAACCAAAGATATACATTGATAACAACAACCAAAGATACGCAAAGATATATATTTTAAGGTTGAGGTAGTAGCATGCAGTAATAATAATAATAATTAATAATTTATTTCTAGCGCATTACATCAGTAAAATCTGGATGCTCTTAGTACCATAATAATATCTCAGTACCAATCTCACTACCATAATAATATACACTATACTGAGTACTTCAATCATGTTTGGTACATGTCCTCGACAGCTGGCTGTGCTGACTCTGAAAAGGTCAGAGAAGTAATCACGTCACCAAATATTGAAGTTCCTTCACTTCGGGCTGGTCTTTTAGACGAAATCGCCTTAGCTCTGGATTCGACTTCACGGGTTTCGGCAAACTGGCAAAAACTGGCAACAAAACTGGGCGTGTCACGAAAAACCTGTTTGGAGTTGGGAAGACGTTCAACCCAGAATCCAACCAATCAACTATTCCAATATTTCGCCGCCTCTCGTCCTCAGATGACGCTAAAAGTACTGAAGCAAGCTCTGCATTTTATAGAAAGAAATGACTTGTCGAAAGTTCTACAAAACCTGGAAGGTAAGTGACCTGAAATTGTGAGTATTAAACTTGCTACAATACTGGAAAAGTCTCTTTCTAGTAAATCATTTCTCTGTTGCTCGATAATTTCTTTTCATTGTAAGAGGATATGCACTCTGCAGATAGATCCAGATAGTGTATCCGAAAGTTTCCATCACACGGCTGTTTCGGACTGGACAATATTTTCAGTTGCTTTTGTCTGCATTAGTCGGAACGATTGTTCGAAAATAACGTAACGCTCACCAAAGTATTGGAAAAACGTCATAAATGTAACTTTGTCATATATATTCTGTTTTAATTCAGATGAATTATTAATAGAGGATGTCGTAACACCGGGCTCAGAACTCTTACAAACGATGGTAGTTGAACTTAATCGAGAAGATGTACCGGGTGTTAAAAATTGGACACATCTGGCTTCCAGACTTAAAGTCCCAAAAGATGTGCTTCGAGAGTTTGCGGCAGAGTCAACAGTAAGGAAAAGTCCCACAAAGGAAGTCATCCAATGGCTGGCCGACCGGTTTCCTGACACGACTTTGATTGATCTTATACAGGCACTGGAAAAGATTCAGCGCAATGATGCCATTCAAATCATAACAAAGCAATTTCCAGACGCTGTCGGTTAGTGGCAAAAACTATCCTAAGTTTCTTTTTACTACAACTACTATGATTGAAACATACAGACTTTTCTGAACCCCTCATATAGTACGCGTGAAAATTTCAGGGACTGGAAGCAAACATCCCCGATGACTCAATCAAAAATACTCCGAAATAGAGCAGCTCGCTAGACTGAATTCTTGCACATTTTGGAATGGCAAATGAACTTCTTCGACATTAAAAGCTACTGAAGAATATTTTCAAAACGTCTGGCGTTAGAATAAGCGAGAATGTAGGTGAATCTACATGCTCATGTTGTTAAAATAGTAAACACTTGCATATCTGAGCTTTTCTGTTTCCAACACACTTAACTTTTAAATATGTTTAAGAGCTAAGCTTTAAAAGGCAATGTTATTAGCATAAAGATAATTTGCAAGATCCATCATAAAATGGATATCCCCAGTAAATGACGGCTGACGAAAAGCAAAAAATGCAGTGGCAGCTTTGGAAGACCACTGAATTTTGTTGTTTTCCAGATTCTTCCTTGGAGAGACTTTGTTCTTTACTGCATGACAATCTCAAAGTCGAGCTACCAAAAGATTCAACAGGCGTGACTTCCCCCAGTCGATACAAGAAGGAAGAACGAGGCTTCCCTCTGAAGCAAGGTAAACAGACGAAACTTTGTACATTCTAGGCCTAGATTTTCCACTGTTAGTATGGTATTGACTTGGGTTAAATCCTTCCTCGGGTTATCCTTTAGTTCAGCTTTATAGAGTAATTTCGTTAATTATTTCCCCTATTTGTTTCATTCTAGATAATGATTCAACTTGATAATTTAATAATTTAATAATTATTTTGTTGAGAAACTGACGTTCTCTCTACTAAATTGTCACTCGATCAGGTCTACGTATTTGCATTTCCAGTGTTCTGCGGCCTCAAAAAGGCCAAACGCGTAATCTTCAATCGTATTACTACTAACAACATGTTGCTAAAAAAAATTACTTTACGTTGTAAAGAAAACAGGTTTTTTTTTCCTGTTATTAGCAGCTTATTATCTATATAATTGCAGAAATGAAACATCAGTCTGGTCATTGTGGTAGTCTACCAGATCGTTCAGATTTAGTGGGTCGCGAAGACACTTGCAAACTAATTATGAATACCTTGACTTCCAACAAAGCTGTTGCAATTGTGGCGCCTCCTGGATACGGGAAAACCTCGGTGGTGGTAGAGGTCGGCCATAAGATGATCGAGAAGGGAAAGCGTGTTGCTTACGTCAATCCCCGAGGAGTGAATTGCGTAGAAGACTTGGGAGGTAGGATCATCGAGGCCTTGGGTGCGGTTCCCAGTGAGGATACGATACAGGAAGCATTGCGTCGCATAAGGGCGTTGGAGTCCAAGAGCTTGCTGTTAATCATTGAAAATATCGACAACTTGCTACATCTTGAGGATAAAGCAAGCAAGGAAAATTACGCTCAAGAATCCGGGATATGCTGTGCCAAAATGCGAGGAAAATACAAGAAAGATGAGTTCTTGACATTTCTAAAGGACATAGGGCAATGTCCAACCATTCACCTTGCACTTACATCAAGGGAAACTAGCGTTTGCAGCGTATCTTTCTCGATTACACCGATCGAAATACCGTCTTTAAGTGACAAGGATTCTGCTTTTCTTTTTATGACACGAGACAATCTTATTGACGAACACTTGGTTAAGGATCTGGTCACAATTTGCGGTGGCATCCCACTAGTCATATGCACAGTGTTAGCAATTCTTCAAAGAGAAAATCCAGAGACGTTAACTCGAAGACTCTCCACCTGCTCTTCCCGCGAGCTTCTTGATGCACTTAGCCCTGACTATATACCAAATGAGGACCGTATTGGTCATTGTCTACAAGTATGTTTTGATCGCTTGAAAGAGGAAAATCAGGATGTCCTCGTACAAATCTCCACATTTCCGCACAGATTCACCCAGGAACA